GAAGTGAGCAATTATGGAGTAAACTAACTGTTACGCGGGTAATCTTTCAGAGGATGGGTAGTTTGCAGACCAGACTGAACTCAGGGTTGTCAGAACAGCAACAAGAAGATTTATTCCGATAATGAAAGTAGTTTCCACGAAGTAAAACTCTACAAGAGCGCGTAATTTGATAAACTTACACGGCCTCCGCCGACTGCACTTAACTTGATTAACTCCTACGTCCTCCGCCAACTTCAATATAAACGCTGCTTCCGTCACAGTTGACTAATCACGTCTAACGTCAAACTACCTTCGCTTGTGAAAACTTGTTAAAAACTTCGCTTGGACCCGCCTACCAATATACCTACACAACAAATTTTTGAACTTTCTAAATAGTCTAAGTATACAAAGATTACAAAATATACTGCTCAAGGAACGCTTACACAAGATACCAAAATAAACGAACAATGAACTCTCGCGAAGCTCCTTGAAGGTCATGCTAGTCACGCAATACAATTTTTCGTAACAGTTACTCTGACTTAAAGGGAAGCTTTTTTATAAGCTTAAGTGACTGACTTAATGTTGTAATACGTTCGTTCATTCTCTTCTTTACGAGTCTGTCCACTGCCCTGTTTCGCGTATCTATTGTAATCATTTGGTTTCGCAAATTTTAATTTTTAATTACCCAGACATTTTAGTAACTGTAGAAGCAATATTGTTGGGCCCGAATGGTCCATTTAAAAAATAAAATTTCTTTTCTGTAATGTACCGTCCTAAATCTAATGTCTCCGCTATTGACTATGAATGATAAATTTTCCTGTAGATTAAGTCTAATCTTAAGAAATTCATTTTTGCGCGAGGTCAATGCATGTTTGATAGCTAATATCAGTGTTGTTGCCATGGAATAAAATAAAAGTATCCCTATATCCGTTCATTTCTTACATCTGACCATTGCCTTTTTATATTTATACAGAAACAGCAAAATGGCTGTCACAAAAACATCACTGATGAGTTCATTTTAAAAGAAGCCCGGAGCTCTGGATTTTTCATATATTCACACAATACGAGTTGTCTGGGTACATGCCTCAATGGAACCTTGTCTTTAATGAGTATGAATGATGTAACAAAATGTAAATACTTCCATCATGTTTGGACTTGAGTATTATAATTTGAAATAATGTATACAAATACCTTTGCTGATAGTAATCTTTTAACTAATACACCGTTTGCAAATATGGCGACGATAGCTCCAAAGCGAGGCTCCTCGGTAGCAACGCCGTTGCCAAGGGCGGGCTGCGCCTGTTTTCGAGTACTTCGTACCAGCTAATACCAGGTTGGATTATGCTTCCTTTAGGCCTAGGCCTACATCCTGTGTTCTTTTAACAGAGATGAGTAATTGGAAGACAGTACCATCAAAGTAAAATAATTCTAGACTTTTAACGGAAGTTACAGTTTGGAAGGTACGTCTTGAATTATGCTTTGTTATGAACGTTCGATTGTCTTTTCATTTATGCAGAACCAACTTTTACAGTATGTTTTCTGTTTTAGCATCTTTTCAACGTAAAGCATGGTGAGACCAGTGGAGAATATGCATGTAAATGAACTAAAGAACTTCTCCGCAGCAAAAATGTGAGCCTCAAAGGATTAACAGTGAAAGTAAGCGAAGACTGATTTAAGATTTCATTCAAGTTTACGTTGAATAAATTTTAAACAGCACCATCCATTAAATATCGGTGACCTGGTAAGCTTTTACGAAAATCAGTTGGCTTAAAATGTAATGATTAGATCTTAGTTCGCTCTGTGATCTTAAATGTTGGGGACACATCCCGTCGAATTTTAATAACCAAGTCTAAAACGAAAATAGGACGTATGAACAACAACAGAGAAACCAAACAGATGATTAATGTAATGGTAAGTTTATCAAAACAACAGGGATTAAAAGACACACCTTAAGTCTCCTTGTATCTGTCGTTGGAAGGCTGTGATAAGTGATCTTTCCTCCGTCCGGCTCTACTTGATATTCGCTCTTACAGCATAGCGGCACGCAACAGTTATCAGGCATGTTATACCACTCAGAAGATCACTCGTAATGGTATTGGGAGCAAATTCTAAACATGGAAGAACCCACTTATCAGGTATAAAAGCCGAAATGTTATGAAATGCATTCTGTAAACAAAACAGTTCTGAATACTCAGCAATCCTGAGAAGACAATCGAACGTTCAACTGTAACTTCCGTTAAAAGTCTAGAATTATTTTACTTTGATGGTAGTGTCTTCCAATTACTTATCTCTGATAAAAGAACACAGGATGTAGGCCTAATAAAAGCATAATCCAACCAGGTATTAGCTGGCGAAGTACTTGAAAACAGACACAGCAAGCCCTTAGCAACGGCGTTGCTGCCGAGAAGCCTCGCTTTGGAGCTATCGCCATATTTGCAAAAGGTGTATTATGTTACAATATAAACCCTGAAGAAATAGTTTATGCTATTGTTGTGAGGTAAATTGAAAGTTGTTATTTTGAGACTTTTTCAGTTATGGTTTTTGTTTTGTTAAGCGTTGCCTTTTGCGCCTACTTGTTGTTTTGGTAGTTTTATAGTTTTGATCTTTTATTTTTAGTGTGTACTTGAACTTGGCTCAGTTCGCGGACTTCCTTATTACAGTGTTAGACATTTTAATCGCTTGTTGTGGTTGAGAATAATTAGTTTCATTGGTGGTCGTGTTTGTGTTGGTAAAGCTGACCTTGGATTTTGCCCACACTGAAGATACTGTTTGTGCGCGCGATTCTCGTGCGCAGCTCGATTGTTGGCGTTTAATTGGTTCCTTTATGCTCGCCAAGTACTTCGGAGCGAGCCACCCAATTTCCCCCTTTGCAAAAAGAACGGATACACTATGGAAACTCACGGTCAGCTAACCCAAACATATCTGTGGTTTTTGTATTTAATAGTGGGCACACCTCGCTAAATAGAGAGAAGAATAAAAAAGATCTGAAGCATTGTGGTAGTAGAAGCTGTAGTAGCTCTCGAGAATAGAATAAAAAGAGAAGCGTCCAGAGTCTTGATACCTCTCGTTAAACGATCAAGTGAGTTGCTAACCTCACTCTACACTATGTTTACATTCACTTTTACGTTTACATGTTATTAGGCCGGTAAATTCATCAAGATATCACACCAACCGTAAAAATAAACCAAATAAATAAAGAAAGAAAGAAAATAAGTAAGTGAATAAAATACAATTATGTTGATGTTGAAAATAAAAACTAAATTACGAAAACTATATAAGCTATGTACAACTATCATTTAAGAAGGCTGATAACCTATGTTTAAAAATTTCTATTTTACAGTCTGCTAGCTCTCATTTCTCCTGTGCCAGTGTATTTCAATTTAATATTTATGAATTTTCAGTGCTGTGTTGTGTCTTTTTTTTTTTCGTAAGTTTTTTATTCCTTAAGGAGACCTGCATCTTACAAGAAACAATCACTGTTTAATTACTATGTAGCTAGCACTCTAAGGTTCCTTATTTGAAATGATTTAACGCGGCTTGACGGAAATTGATAATCTGAGATAGCAAACATTTATCATGTGATTTTTTGTTGTAATTTATTGTATATGCGAGGCTAGAAAGCTGTAGCTCTACACGTGTACACGCCGTATACTCTGTTGCAAAACATTGGGAGCCAGAGATCTCCTTTTGATCTCTTAGAATGGAAATTTTCACCTCAATCAAATTTTTTTTGAAGACGTTTATCAGTAACTCACTCAAAAGTTTGATTCGTTTTCGAAGAAGACGCTTTCTTTGTGATAATTCAATACTGTTTCAGCTCAGAAATTAAAATACACATCTCGTGTAGTTCTGGATTGCAAGTTATTCATACTTTAGGGACATGATTTAAATATGATTGCATATGCTACACTTATGCCTCTTCCCTTTGCCATGATAAACACTAGCCGCTTCTTTCCCTTCTACAATAAAGTCATCGCAAGTTCAATCTGTGAGGTTGTGTGGTAGTAGTAATCTGTCTGAGGCCCATTTTTGGGGCATTAGCTAATTATTTTTGAAATCAATCGTAATTGGAACGTATGATTGATCCCAAGCAACAACGAGGTCAGAAACTCTGCGTCTGCTAATGTGGGCGCAAAACTTAAAAAAAATTCTACTTAGATCAACTCAGTTGCAACTTTCTCCGTATTTACCTGTTTGATAAAGCTGGCTTAAGCCCTTTACTCCGAGGTCTAAAAAGATACCAAGGAGTCTGGTAAACAGGGACGGCTAAGCGACTCGTTACTATGAAATGATCGGCGAATTACCAAAGAGCACCCTTAATACACGTGTAACGTTTTACGACAACGGAAGTGTCTCTGTTAGGAAGTAATTTCTGTCAAAATTTATGCTTTGAGGTAAATAAAAGGGTCCGTAAGAAGATGTACTTGGCTTACAATGAAGCCGACTGTCTACATGCAACCCGGCTTGCTTCCGTTTTACTTCATAATCTGGATCATCTGAGAGATCATCTGCTGACTTTAATGATGGTTAGAGATTGACCCCATTCATGGCCTCTAAATATGGTTATGGTTATGGCGATGTGAGCCACTAAACAGGAAGCGGAGCCACGTGCAGTATGGAGTATTCGAATAGAGAGTATTTGCTGTATGATGGCTGTATTTCAAACTGGAAGTCTCTTTCCCTGTTGTATATGTAATCATTTGCATCTTTGAGACATTGTGCGCCATATGATAACAGCATTTTTAATTTTTGAGTAGGGCATGTGATCACCAGGGAGCGATTTTCTCTCGTAGACGGTGACGCTTTAGGCAGTGGAGAGCCATAACTCCAAAAAAAGCCACTTAATCTTTTTGTGGCTCGTCAACTGCGTTTGCGCGTCAACCGCGTTCGAGGACTCAGACATCTTTTAGCCTGATCTTCGTGACTTTGACGCATGCAATAACCACGCTTAAATGGGTACGAATGCATAACCGACCTGTTATCCAACTCAGCGCTCCCACCAGCTTCAATGAATAGCCACCTTTATTCCACTACTGTAACACATGTTTATGAGATATTTCCTTTCAAATCCTTCACGGGAATAAAGAAAGATCGAACATGACGCAATTTTTAATAGGTCCGGAAGAGTTACAGCGCTATAATAGGACTAAGGGACATGCATGTGCTCGTATCCCTTCCAATATGCCTAAACGCCAGGGGTACAAATGCATACTCTCTTCATACATATTTATTAGGATAATTTTTTTTTCATCATTAGAAATTATTGTTCCAACTTTTAAATATTTTATGAAAACATGAAGTTCATTAACGATTAGTGTCAGTCAGTAAATGCAACTCCTTAACCAAAAATAAACTGAAAATTTTTAATTCTGCTTGAAAGCTTGCTTAGCTACTAATTAAATTGATATTTTCCCCACTCTAAAATTGAGTTGACTAAAGATAGCAAAAGGAAAAGGCTAAAAGTTCTTAATCACAATTAAAAATCTCTATTCGACTTTTTCTTCGTCGCCGATTTATTGCTGTCGTGTTATTTCTGACCGTCACGATGAATAAAGGTTTCCTATGAATAAAGAGAGAACTCAAAATGAAAAAATGTAAGATATCTTGCTTTGATATCAACTGCACATCAAAAAAGTTAAATTTCAGAAACATTTGTAGAGTATTGCTTCCAGGTAGCAGTCAAATTGGAAACCTTGAATGGGTGGATGGAAAAGGGATAAAAAAATTAAATAAATGAACAAAAAGGTCACATTGCCGTAGGCTAAATCACTGCTGAAATAACAGTACTGTATATTTGGAAAACTTGTATATTAGGAAACCTTGTATATTAGGAAAAGTTGATGTTTTCTGAGTCATGATATGATAAAACAGGAAACAATAGCTATAATTACTTTCTCAATTGATACCCCTCTAAGTAAAGATAAATACGTGATACACGCACGGAATAACATTCTGGATCAACTACAAGATCTTTTTAATGTGACATTTCGCACCCTCCACGCTCCAGAACACTTTGAGTGCTGTTACTACCTATCAAAGATGCTTTCTCTTGTAAATTATCACTTTGAACTCAATGCTGAACATATCTATATTTACCTGTTGTTGATCCAGTGGAAACTTTCAAGACAATGGATGCTTTTGTAGTATTCTCATACTCACACATCCAATGGCAGCTGTACTTTCCCTTGTCCTCCTCGGTGACGTTAAAAATAGTCAGGATAAATTCCTGCTTGCATTTGCTGTGCGTGGGTTTCACTACTATGTTGTACTTGTTACTGCTCGCCAAAGGAACTCGGTCGTTGTTTTTATACCAGTACAGGTCATCTGGGCAGCCACTCTCGTCGCTATCAATCAAACACGTCAGGCTGACGTTAGACAGCTTGCTTGCAGAGACCACGGACGATGAAGTGGTCGGAGCCTGGGGTAGAGGACCTGTGTTTCCACGAAATTGAAAAAGATGCTTAAAACCATGATTATTCGTTGGAAATAATCTAATCTGGTCAATTTGGAGTGCTATTTTTCGCTATACATCGTTCGAAAGAAACCATAACCAAGCTAACATTGACATAATTATCCCTCGCTGATGAAAGCGTCTCGGTGTATAACAGCAGGTCTGGAAGGTTTCGTTTTTTAAAAGATGATCGTTTTTGTATTTTGAGAATAACCGCTCTCAATTAAGCATCGTGCTCCTACTTGGATGCGACAATGTGAGTGGATTTAACCGAGTTTGAATACCCTTGCTTATGAAGTATGAAAGAGTTTGATGGAAACTCTAATTGTCAGTAGCTCCATATTAAAAAATTAAATAAATAAATTAACGATACTAAATTCATGCCTATACTCTTAGTTTTATATAGAATATATTCTTCGAACCTTCAAGTTTTGACTTGAACACTTACAAATAAATATCAATTGCACCATGTAGGAAATATTGCTGGACCAGCCTTGAATAGCATTTGCTGAAATACTCTTAGTTTTATATAGAATATATTCATCGAACCTTCAAGTTTTGACTTGAACACTTACAAATAAATATCAATTGCACCATGTAGGAAATATTGCTGGACCAGCCTTGAATACCATTTGCTGAAATGCAGGTGTAGAATCCTTCGTGTTCCTCGCTTCCTGATGGAAAACGAAGGACACTACGAATCGCTTCTTTTTCATTGAGCCATATCTTCTCCAGAGATTGATAAATGCCTTTGGTTCCGTTCATCATCGGTAAACGTGCCCTGTCAATGACTGGCTGTTTATCCTTGTACCAGTTGACAACAGCAGGTAGAGGCCAAGCCGAGAAAACGCATTCCAATTCCAATTTTTTGTCTTTTGATATAATATTGGGGGAACTACTTCCCCGAAGAAGATCAACAGCACCTGGATATAATAAGGATTTTACGTTACTCAGTTGAAGAATCAACACTAAACTAATTAAAGTTAAATAATTAAGAAATCTACAAAGCTATTCTCTTTTCTCCCTAAGCCCCATTTCAAGCGATGTCCATGATGCTAAGTCTCTGAAACACTTGACCAAATGATGAATGTGCAAGTTCAATATGTTTATCACTGCTTTTTGTGTCTTATTTTTGATAAAGATGAGGTTGAGGTGGTTAAAATTTACAGGCATAACTTATGATTCTCTCTTACATGGGAATTGAACAAAGACAGGAACACGGCCTCTTGGGGAAGCTGTGAAGTCAATTAAACGAGGAGCTACTTACGTGTAAAATGTACAGCGGTGCACTGGCACACATACTTCCCATTATTTGATTCCCCCACTTCATGTAGAACCAAATCTAATGGGCCCGTGTTTCTAACAATTCGCTGTTTTGCTTGCTGCCAGGTCAGGATTTTTTCCGTTCCTCTCACCGTTATGGCACAGTTGGTTGGTATCTTTGCTCCTGGATTAACTGTGATTTCCTTGGTGATTTGGCAACCGGCTGGCGCTGAACAAGAAGCCTTTATTTCACATTTCGTGGTGGGTGCAGATGACACATCTAATTCACAGAACAACGGATAAATGAATCTTTCAAACGAATGAATTACTTATTGGATCATTAGATGTGGGAAGATGAAAGGATAAAGGAGTGGGAAGAACAGGAAGATAAAAGGGTGGAAAGAGTAGCTGCCACATGCAGAAACTGGAGCGTTACAGGTATTCTTAGAAACTGAATAATTAGGAACGTAGCTGAAAAGTATTTAACGCTGCGATGAAAGCCAACGATGCTTTAAAGACAGAACTTTTTGCTCTACATTCGGCGAAGAGCAGCATATAAAATTGCATAAAGAAAGATCGAACGCACACATGAAAAGAAAATAGGCAATTTTCAATTGGAAAAACAGCAATAAACCGAAAAAGAAATGAATAAATAAACAAACATAATACAATTTTTGTAATTGATTGCTTGGGTAAAGGGTGTCTCGTTTGCACGATAATTCGATATGCGCAAAAAGATCTTGGATCGATTCAATCACAATGCAGCCCTTGATGCAATTTACGCTTCTTATGTTTTGGAAAATTACTGATTTAGTGTCATATTGTGGTTCACTATACGATCCAATTGACACTAGGAAATCCAACCGTTGCTTCGTTAGTTCAGATATCATGAAAGGGTAACCTTTTTTCTGACTATGGTCAGAAAATCACCATTTAGAAGAATTGTCAGAAGCCATTGAGCAAGAATACAGCCAAAGTAGGGGTTGAGAGCCACAAAAAAAGTCATATTTTTCAAGCGCTCTGAAACAATAAGGGGAAAACTACTTTGCCGAATTTGACAATACAACTTAAAGTGATACTATAATTTTTACACTTAGCTTGCAAGATCTCTGACTGGTACTTATTCAAAATTACCAGACTCTTTTCATATCAAACCTGGTAAGAGTAACAGATTCGTCACGCTGCAAAAGATTTTACTCCTTGATGACGATTGTGCCACAACTCTTAATTATAGTAGACATGGTTTTAACAAATAACTGAACGAAAAAGTAAAAGAATCTTTCACAGCGTAATTCTGTTATCAAGAGATACGTCTTGTTACGAATGGGCTTTTAAGAGGAAAAATGAAAAGAAAGGAACAATTAAATAAACAGAAACGTAATGCAATCAATTTTCTTACCTTCAAACAAAGCTAATGACAAAGAAAACAGCAGAAAGAGTTGGCTTGAAGAGAGCCTCGTGTCTTGTTCGAAATTCTGATTCTTCATGCTCACTATTACGTGGTTTAGCGCGCCTGCACATTCACCTCTAAAAGCCGATGAATTTATACCCCCCCACACATTTTCGGAATTATGGTTCAGTTTTTTTCCTTTAACAATATTTATTTGTTCAAGCATCATAGGTACCTATTGAGCTCCGCCCATTTATAGGTCAGGAACAATACCTTTTTGCCGGATTAAGAAAGCGCCTGTTAGACCAGATTCAGGAAGACGAGTAAGAAGTTTAAGGGATGAAAAGAAAATGATCCACCATGCTTGGGATTTCGTATATTCGATATATCCTGCCTTGCTTAAGTCTCTGGTAAAATGATGAAAATATTCGAGAGTTCTCAGTAGGAACAACCAAACAATAGCGTATCAACAAGAATCACAATAGATATAGGAGCTTTAATAAAACAGGCATTATTTATGCAGACAAAGAAACAAATAACTATTGTGGAGAAGCTTTGTTTAGAGAGCAGGATTTCAGAGGCGAGGGTAATGAAAATGGGGGGAAATTACGAAAAAGGTGGGTGCATGGTGATTTCTCAAATTATCATTTATCAATAAATTGATCTTAGGGAAATACAGGAATTTTTATGGGCCTGCGCCACTGGTGGTTCTGTGCCGTGCACTTTTGAGGGTTGCGCGGCGGAACCGCAAAGATGAACGACGAAGCTTCTGAAGACCCCACTCATATATGCGCCCAGCCGCCCTTCTTATCATCTACCGCCCAAAGTCATCGTCAGCCACACAGGCAAGACATTATTTGTCGAAAAAAAAAGGGTTTTTATTCGTAAGATACTTGCAAACCTTTGGGAGCAAAACTCACATCGTTCTCTGTAATGTAACTTAACCGAAATGCAGGTGTAAAAATGCCAAAACATATACATGATATCACCTTGGTCAGCCTCATATTTCATATAGCCCGAAGACAAAAATGAAAAAAAAAATAATAATAATGATAGTGAACGAACCAAAGAAGATTAAAATTTCTAGTGATGTCCATTTGGTTTGTCCGTATGAATTCTTTCATTTGACACCATTATAAGGATATCCAAGCGAAACCATTAAACCTAACGTACATTTTTTAAGTTTTAAATCTCTATGCGTTTGGTACGAACGTGTCACGTTTATCTTCATACAAAATGCACAATTTCTTCTAAGTTAACTAGGCTTACTCCTTAAAGGAAATGTAAGACAAGAACGACCCAATCTCTTAGACAAATGGCAAGTGGATGAGGTGTAAATTTGAAATTGGAGCTTGGGTCTCTTTCCCAGTCTGGTGAAATGGCTCATAGCTCCAACCTTTAACAGAGATTTAATTTCGAAAGAATCACGGTAAAATATCAAAGTGACCATGCGTTATTCACTACTTACGGAATGGAGAAATCGCGGCAGGGGGCTATGGCTGCCCAATTTTGCGTGGTCCTTTGTCTCAAGAGTGTGGCTTTCTACGTCTGTTTGTAAAGTACCGCCATATCCGTTAAAAGGAGGTGTGATCAAAGCAACGTGGGTCAGCTGTGTCAGTGACACTTAGTGTGTCTCTCACCAATCGATAACTGATAAGAAACCGGATTAAGCTACAATGGTTCGCTTACAGCATGAAATACAATGGGAGAAACAACTTTTTAAGTTCAGTTCGTTGATGGACGTCGTTTCAAATGACATTAAATAATTATTGTCCGCCCTTATGCAATTAAAACTTTAGCATTTCTTAAATGCATTAACTGTGACGCTAGTCCTACTGAATCTTTAAGGAAATCCGCCTTGGGAAACGGTAAAATCGTGGCATAGGGCCAAGAGGGTGCTAAAAAAAAAGAATTAAAATATACAGTTGGCGAGGGGCTTGAATACGTCTATCGATAGATAATACCCTTCTTGTCTTCACCAACATAGGAAACACGTTGACTGGAGCATACTCATAAGCAGGGTTTTGAATTTCGGTCACTCTCACGAGGAAAGAACTTTAAATTTGGAAATAAGAGATACAATAGGAAATCTATTCATGAATTGATTAGAAGTTTCATGTTAGAGGTTGATAAGCTTCAGTGACACACTAAAAAGAGGAATTTGAGATTAATTATGACCCTCAAAGTTAGTTTTAAGTAGGTATTGCAAATTAATGGAGTCATATGGGGTAGTCATAGCAAAGATAAGTGAAATATTGAAAGCCTTGATATTCAATAACAAAAACATTTCGTAAACTGTTTTGAGTCATGATGTAACGACGAATTTTGAGTGAAAAAGCTACTTTTTTGTTGGGTAAACAACCGCCCACTGGACGGAAACTTGAAACGCGAGGTGGAAATGGGTGGTGGGACTTAAGTGTTGGTCAAAGGCACATTGTGCCGTTGTAACTGACACTTCTTTCTTTTTTGCCGACCAACGCACTGCCACACAACCACACGCTTGAAGCATACGGAGAATGTTTTTGAGCAGTCAGAACTATTCATTATTGTTTTTTGACATCACACGACGATGGCGTCAGAGGCTAATTTACGTAGGATGCACGATCCTCGCAGTAGAMAGCGCTATTTAACCAATAGCGAAAATCAGACCTGAAAAAAATCAGGCCTGTACGGGATTCGAACCACTGACCTCTGCGATACTAGTGCAGCGCTCTACCAATTGAGCTAACAAGCCAACTGGGAGCAGGCCGTTAAGCTGATTCGTAATAAACCCGTGATGATAAATCAGATACAATGTATATATGAAGTTCATATATTTTGAACTGCGGTATTAGATACGTATGATGCACGATCCTCGCAGTAGAGAGCCCTATTTATGCAATAGCGAAAATCAGACCTGAAAAAAATCAGGCCTGTACGGGATTCGAACCACTGACCTCTGCGATACTAGTGCAGCGCTCTACCAATTGAGCTAATAAGCCAACTGGGAGCAGGCCGTTAAGCTGATTCGTAATAAACCCGTGATGATAAATCAGATACAATGTATATATGAAGTTCATATATTTTGAACTGCGGTATTAGATACGTATGATGCACGATCCTCGCAGTAGAGAGCGCTATTTATGCAATAGCGAAAATCAGACCTGAAAAAAATCAGGCCTCGCAGAGGTCAGTGGTTCGAATCCCGTACAGGCCTGATTTTTTTCAGGTCAGATTTTCGCTATTGCATAAATAGCGCTCTCTACTGCGAGGATCGTGCATCATACGTATCTAATACCGCAGTTCAAAATATATGAACTTCATATATACATTGTATCAGAGGCTAATTTGTTATGTACACATATTTCTAGCCCTTGAAAGTAGAATTCTGTTAGAGCGTTTTGTCTAAAAGGCTTCTGCTTTTTCTCTTATCTATTAGTTGATGAAGATCGTCCAAATTAAACTGACTAAGATGCAACCCAAATGGAACAATGCGAAAATACGCTCGTTTCTTATAAGTTTTACCTACTGATTTGTAGAAATGTGTTGCGATTTAGTAGAAAGATAAAGATTTACCGACAACTTTTAACTGGCAGAATATATATCTATATCCTTGCACACAGGCTGTGGTTCGGAGATTAAAATAGAGTAATCCTGTACAGATTGGCTACACCGGAAAACTCTGCTAAATATCGCACAGGTTTCCTTATCCTGTTCACAAACTGCGGCGTCGTTGGCAAAACGTGACGGCTGGCGGAAGCATCAGTAGGTTTAAATGCTCTCTATGAGAAAGATGAATGGAACCGGCATCTCATCCAAATAGAACTTTTCAAATGATTATCTTAAGTCTCTTTTAATCTTTTGAAATTTTGGGAAGACGTCAATCTCAGAAGCTGAGAAGAATTTGAGACGTGCTCCTAAATGCTCAACCCTTATTGAAAGCAAACTAAAAAGATGTTCGAAAGTAAAGGTAATCGGAACAGTTTTCAGGCAATGACGCCAAGAAAAGTAATTTGAATTACTAGTGAGTGAAGTCAGCATGATAAGGCATTCTTAACGAATCAACTTCCTGTTTTTATAAGTTGGAACTTGTTTTTGATATAAGTATTGCACAACTGACAGAAACAGATTATAGGGCCACATACAATAAGAAAAAAGGACAGTCGCTTTGGATAGTTCTGCGTCTCCATTCGCCTGAAATTTTCTCTTGAAGTAATCAGATGACTCTTTCGTTCAACTTATGTTTCAACTAAGGTTATGGAAATGGAAAAACTAACAAACTCTCGGATAGCGGATATGGATTAACAGAATATTTATATTAATGTTTATCGACCCAATGCTGAGGCGATGAAAGTGTACTCTTTAAAGGCATCGAGGCCATGACTGCTCTTGATTACTGTGATCGTCACTGTGTTATTCCAGTCTGTTCAGTGCAAAGAAATCAGGAACGTGTTTTCACGTATCAATGAGTAAGCACTTGAATGAAAGCCAAATACTTTGTGAAAAAGCAAATTTAACTGATCCATTCAGCTTGCAAGTGTGAGTTTGCGGGAAGAAGTGGGTACTTCCGTGTAAATAGACACTTGCTGCCCCAAGGGAAAGGCTTTTTTTAGGCCGCTTCGGTCTGAAAACTGTACAGATCTCGTCTGTTATAGTATTGTTTCGGGTATGGCAGCCGCGAAGGATTTCAATAAAATGTTTCAAACCCCAATGAAACCAAAATATCACTTGGGAAAAATTTACAGCTTCATTTCACCAATTCTGAGCTTTGCTCCCGACGAGAAGATTAAATTAAAAAACAAATAAGTAAACGGTTACAGTTTTGAACGACTTATGGATGTATGCTTCATAAATTTATACTATTATATCGCTCCCGATCGTATGAGAAAGAAATGTCGAGCTAATTGTTAGATATTCATTGTTCTGGTAACAGAATGATAAACCATACTGTATTCAACTATTTTCTTCTTAAAAGTATACCTCAAATGCTCCACTATCACCTATAGCCTCACCGGTCACTACGGTCATAGTAACCTTTTGAAAAAATATGCAAAAAGCAAACTTATTCTACTCTAGAAATGAGAATGTAGTGTCTGTGTCATAGGATGGGAGGATGTGACTCATGCGATGGGCTATAGGAAGAGGTTTCACCTTAAAATTTTACACTGCCTCCTTCCTGTGTATGTTTTCAATGTTTGACTACTTTCCTACGATTTGCGCGAAAATTTTCCATTGTTATCATAATATCCTCACTTCGAAATCGAATCACACCGTTTGTTATCTACGCCGGCACCCACCACCCACGATTTGTTCTCTCGATGCATAACCGGGGTAACCAAATCACCGTAACAGCGCCTCGACGATGTTGGTATCTTTCGATTTACGAAGCATCATTTCAGTCCGTGAAATTCATGAGAGAATGATCTCTTATAAATGTTGTCCAAGCCCTATGGAAGACCTTAAGCCCTTTGAGCGTTCGATCAACAAAAGATCTGAAGAAATTAAACGTGAAATAAGACGTTTGTACCTATGAATTGGGATCAATTACAAATCTTAGGAAGCGTCTTTTATACGAGAACAACCAGTTATCTTAGCCAAAGGGGCTGACTGAGAATTGTTATTGCAAGGGCAGGTTTACAGTTCTATCATAGTCATGTCTTTTTCGTCTGGAGAGTCTGCATTGACGTATTAACAGGAAGACGAAATAAGATTTTATCACTTACTTCAAGATGATGAAATTTCGAACTTCGACGGAAGAATTAAGATAAAATTTACCTTAGATTGAAATCGATAGCTGTTTAACCACCTTATGACTACAGTAAGTCAAAGTTAGAAAACAAGCCACCATTTTTTTTAATTTTATTTTATGGTAGATATACTTTAAAATAACACGAAAACCACGTTCCACATGTCTTCTTGGGCGAAATAGAAAACGCCATGAAACTATTGGAGGATTCCCAAAATAGCCTCTTGTTTTGAGTGTGCCAAAAAAATAACACATATGCAATAAAAGGTGCAAAAAGTAAAACAAACAACGCTCCCGCCTCTAATGGGGTACGTGCCGCGATGATTGAGCTCTCAATTAAAAGAATTGAGAGCGTAAGTTTACATTGGCAAGGCTAACTTGCTGAGCAATAATGCAAAGTAGTGTACAAGCATAACACAATGCACGTACATGTATCTAACTTTTTAATTTGTTTAAACTTGCCCATGAAAGAGGCTATTGTTGTGAAATTCTCGACGCTTAACCATTTTAATCATTTCAATATTTCTAAAGCTTCTTTGGTTTAATTTTTTCTTCAGCCACCCTAAGTTCTATTCATAAATGCATCTCTGAGATGATGACCTGATGATATCATGTCAAGCCAGTTAAGGAATAATAAACATTTCTGTCTGGAAGGGCTTTATTCTGTTGAGGCATCATTCATTCTACTTTTGACCCATCTAATTTGCTATCTGGGCCAAAAGAACTTGGCGTGAAAACATTTCATTTTACAATATCACTACTAGAATTATTTCACTTAAACAGGGGTGCCTTAGTATTATATTACTTATAGCTGTGTTGGGCAAATGTCTGCGGTATCGGAAAATTCCATGCTGATAGACACGCATAAATGTATGGAGTAGATGAAGCGAAGAGGGATCTTTTAAATGTGAGTTAAAGCAACACAGCTGTCATAAATGGCATATGATGACCCATACTAATAGCTTGTTACCATGCACATCCTTTACATTAATTAAACTTTGCTTAAAGATGAAGATTTGGAGGCGCGGTGGCCTCATGGTTGGTGCGCCCGACTCCGGATCGAGTGGTCCGGGTTCGAGCCCCGGCTGGGACATTGTGTTGTGTTCCTAGGCAAGACACTTTACTCTCATAGTGCCTGCCTCTCCTCACCCAGGTGTTATAAATAGGTACCGGTAATGCTGGGGGGTAACCCTGCAATGGACTGGCATTCCATCCAGGGAGGAGTAGAAATACTCCTAGTTGCTTCATGCTACAGAAACCGGAGTTAAGCACCGGCCTAATGGGCCACTAGGCTCGTAAACAGACCTTACCTAAAGATGAAGATATATTTTGGGTTTAGGATGAGATTTTATTTTTTCTTTTCCTAAATGGGATTCTTCCAAACCTAACTAGGCCAATAAACCGCTCGAGCCTGCGTTTTTCCTTTGTCTTCTTTGTTTTCTTGGATGTTTCGAGAAAGTAAGTCAATACCTGTGAAGCTTGACAGGCTATTAAATAAAAGGAACTTCTTATCTACCTAAGTTGCAAACACAAAGAAAAATTGAATCGCGCGAGTTCTTGTTGACAACTTCTTCCTTTTGGCTACCCTCCACATTCCCTTTACCCTGCGTTCTGGCCTTTTCGGTTCAGTTGACTCCAAAAAATAGTTAGTTTGATGAAGCTATCGATATAGCGGGATAATATTTTGCATGATCACTCTCTTCTCTCTTGCTATCTAGGATGATATTCGGTGGGCACTGGTATAGGATGATTTTTCGCATAGCCGGACTTCTACCGTTTGCTAAAAAAAAAAAGGCAACTTACACATTTGCTTGTAGGACAGATTAGATACGAATCGTGACTTCGTTCACCAGTCGCACTAATTTTGAACCAACAAAAAAAAAACACATTCATGACTATCAGAACAACAATGGGCTGCCTTTAGTAAGCTTGATGAAATAGTCTCTTCATCAGCTGGCTCCGCAGCAATGGTTATTCTTTTCCTTTCTATCTTGAGAGATTGGGACGAAAGATATCACTCTTGATTGCAAGGCCTTCTTCGTTATCTCCAAGTTTTACTACTTTGGGAACTCGGTGTGTCACCCACCCACTCTGTTTTTAAGGGGAGGGGAATAAGTGTTTATATCGCCGACGAATATGTTTAACGTGTGCTGTTCTAGAAGATTCCTCATAAAAAAAAGGGAAACACACCAACAGCATAATGTGAATTGGATAGATATTTATTACAAACTCAAGCTTTGCATCACAAGGACAAATCATAAATAAGTTAAATAGAAGATGAGCAGCTGGCTGTTAACCAGCAGAGTCAGGCCGCAATCTTTCGTCTTAAGTTTACACCATATGCACAGTAGCAGCCGCAGTACTAAATATGTAAAAAAAATTACTCGAAAATAGTCTTAACATCTCTTGATACATCTGCCCTTGGAAAAATAGGTCTCCTTTCAAAAGTGATAACATAAATATTAAAATTATATATAATATATATATATTATATTGATTATATTAATAAAGATAATAGTAATGATTGCTTTAACCATCATTTAATCATAGATAAGTCTACGAATAACGGTGGAGACTGTATTTACATTGATTATCTTTACTCACATCTTTAATAGTTTTTAAGAATAACTTGCCATCTGTTTTTGCAGCAAGACACTTCGAGTTGTAAGTGTATGTAAAATAGTTCATGCGGTAATGTCTAGATTCTTTAAAAATGAAGTCATCAGAGATGTTGGTGTAGTCGCAGCCTTTGGGCTTTTTCTGCGGATTCAAACAGAATAAAGCCAAATGTTAGGAGATGAGATCATTTAGAAGTGAGAAAACTGGTGGCAGATAACTAAGGGGGAAAACAATTCAGATATCATGTCGAAAAAAAAAAGCATAAGTTAAATGCGGGTATATATAACCAAATACTTTCGTGTTTTTAAAAAGGAACCGTGCAATCTACTTTTAAACGTTAGTCAATCAGGCTGATTTAAGTTAATTTTGAAGATCCATTTTTTTAAAGCCTGGGAATCGCGGCGATCAAATAAATTGGCATTGCTCACCTCAAAAACGATATTGCTTGGATTGACGACCTTCAGTGCATACTTCACTTGGCTGCTCGTCGTAAATTCAATACATTTTCCTCTTGTTTTCCCTGACGAGTCCTTTATCTTGACAATTGTAAATCCTTTTTAAAGAAAACACAATCGTTTCGTCAACAATCTTGTGTCTTGAATAAAACTATCCGCAAATTAAAATGCTTAAAATTTACAATAGTTGTTCGATATGACTTTCCGACCTTCGTCCTAGTAATAATTTGGCTGCCCTTTATTTCTGATTTTCATTTCTTTTGTTATATTGGACCTTACGATCCTCCCTTTCACTGTTGAAAATAGACATCTTTGAATGAGCTGTATGAGTTTGAATCGAACGATCACACAGTTTTTCAGTGAGGCAAAGGTGACTAAAAAGTTTAAGGAAGCTGTTTGGAAAGCTTAGGCGCGGGTTGAGAAGGCCGCTTTAGGTTTACCTCAACCAATAAAACCGATTCGCTATAAACGAATTTGAGAATTTCAAGTCTCAGTTATGTTAAAATCAGTCTCAAGTGATCAGCATATACTTACTTGTTGCCAGGTCTGTCGTAAAAGCGCCATCAATGCTAACTCTTCTTTTGCCCGTGCTGCCTGCTCCTATCTTCATTAGACAGCGTCCACTTGTTATCAAGTTGCAGTAACCTGACCTAAGGGTTGTTTCTCTGCGTGATTTTGATTCGCTATATTGTACAGGCACCAACAGGCACACAACAGAAATCTAAAAGAAGAAGAGAATATAGTACAAAATGAGAAAATTGAATTGAACCACGTCTCAACATGTAGTACAGTCAGACTTCAAAAATAAACTCAAAAAAAAAAATTTTCTTCAAACTCAACAATCATAGAGGCAGTATTCATTGAGGGCCGTTGATGACCATTGACTGATACCATGGATATAGAAAGATAACAGGGGTGTATCTTGACCAACTGACCGAGGCAGAACAGGGCATATGAATGTAGGATAGTCGCTATCACTGTATAGAAAAACGAAACCAACCATTACTGGCCAAGGTGATAGGCTATATAAGTCAAGCACCATCAATAGAAACTGACCGAGATCATGCCGACTTATAGAATATTTTTAAAATTCCTCGAAACGATGTAACAGAGTAGCTTGTCTGGAGCAACACCAACAGCAATGACACATGTTAGCTACTTACAAGAAGAATAACTTTGCGATCCATTTAGGCAACCTTTTTTCCACTGCCTCTCTTATAAATCAGATTTTTTTTTCTATGAAATTTCTACCGAACAAGGTTCCTATTTATACCTTAATGGGCGGGATTTTTTAATGTTTGAGTATGTAAAATGTTATTTTTTTTAATCGTCATCCTTGAACTCGGAAACTCACAACCCACTGTAGGATGCATTGCGATAACAGAAGCAAATGTTATTTCAACCTCTCCGAACGGAAATTTTGTAAAATTTCTAAAAAGTTTTGTCGTTGCAGAAATAACCGTGTGTTCCTCCCTGTTCATAACCGGCCATTTCATTAAGAGCTTTAGGCAATGACTTTGTTAACAAATGCAAACCTAAAAACCGACACTAGTTCTGCAATTTCACTGAGTCTTGGTGAGGCGTGAGCCGTAAGCAAGATATACTCAGCATATAATTGCAGCTAGTGACCTATATTTTTATAGATGAAATCCCAAAAGGATACTACCGGAGAGAATTTGTAAAATGCGAACCTTGCGTTAGCTGTTCAGATTGCGTTACTTGGACTCAACAGGGTTATAGTTTGGGAATTTACAAAATTATGCAAGTTTGGCGCAAGGGGAAGGGAACTTTGAAAGGCTATGTTTCTGTATTTCAATGCGATGTATATTCGGTGGATCACTTTTGAAGTCAAAAGACAAATAAACCACAGGTGACAGGTGCCTAAACTTCCAAACGTTCCATATCCTCCTGATTGTAAGTGGCCAGATTGGCAGAAAGTTTGTGTCCTAATAAAGTAGTTGAAGGCAAAGATAAAGAAGATGCAATGTTCAAGGTTTGAGAACGTAAATTTATAGTTTCAACTTTCGAGTCTAGAGATTCATTATAACTCCACAGAATCAAGGAAAGAATTCCTTCCTGGGTTGGTGAGACCCACTGAAGTCAGTGGGGGTCTGATCAACATTTAAGATAAAAACAGGTAAGGGAAGTCGGAAGCAAATGTCGAGAACCAAGTGGGAGCCAGGCGTTTTTCGGGATGGCGATGTAAACAAGGAAGAAAAGCAAAGCTTAAGTTCAAACGGATACAAAGGGGTGGAAAACGAATTTCACACATCTAGAAGCTTTCATTTTAGGGAGTGGCTGCTTATCTATCGATCCGCTTTTCTCCTGTTTTTTCTGGGTCTCGATGTTATTTCATGCATATCTAAACTGACGCTGACTTTAAATCCTACATTGGGGCCAAGTCCCAAAGTAGTCCAGTACAGAGCGCCTTCATTTGAAATAATTTATCAATAAAGCCTAATCTTATGAAGTATCGCTTTAAAACTGTACTTTGCTTTCGTGACTGTTTTAATTACCTTTTTTCAATACCTGAGATTTATTTATGTTTTCGTCATATTTGACGTTGGTCGGCTAACCTACTCAAACGTGTCTTGACCATAAATTGCACATTGTGTGATATCTGTTCCCGGTTAAAGTTAGACTTTCAACATTAATGAAAAGGCAGTGAAATCCATTAACCAGGGAAACTTAAGAGCGGTGAGGGCTTTCAAGATTTGTGAGCGGCCGGGCCCTGACCAACTATCAACCGAATACGAAAGTTGTTGTCACAGAAATATTGTGACAATTGTTTTGCAAAGTGGACACTTTACAATTAAAGACAGCGCGAGCGATCATCATGAAATAACACTGGCCGTTTGTATATGAGGTTTTCATAGGTTCATAGAACATCGGAGGTCAACGGTGAACACGAGATTTTCACTCATGGCAATATTCTTCGTGGAGCTTCATTGTACAGTACTCTTGATTAGTAATATAGCTTCCACAATAAGTGGTAGAATATGGAATTGAGAATCTAGTTTTTATTTCAATTTGCGACAAGTCGTCCTAGAACGCTGATGAAGCCATTACGTCTTCGTTATCAGTCCTCGAGAAAGTAACTCTTAACTTTTAATGCAGTTTTTTCCCTGTTTACTCACTGAAACGATTGCTGAACTGAGGTTTAAATAGACGGCGAGAGTGCCATATGCATAGTATACTTTTTAGCAGCTGGGCCAAGTGAGTCACTCTCAGATCAATCAACTCACTGAGGCATCAGAAACAACCCCGGTCATTTTTAATTATCTCTTTAACGATCTCCCCTTTCCGGAAGATACTTTATTTATTTGGAGATAGCTTAATGATGTTATCGTTAAATTGTGGATTAAGAAAAGCACCGAAGCAAACCAGAACAATCTGGATCATGTTAATTGTAAACAGATCAGATTCTTTTTGCCCTACACGACAGCGAATGATCTGTATCGTTGCGTCAGTTTTTGAAATTCCGCTCCTCGAAACTTGATCTAAAGCAAGCTTACATATCATGACTGTCCTTGCTTTGGTCTTTATGCGTTGAGTAACTACCCCAGAAATTCGTAGCATTGTTTCGCCTTGGCACCACGCGCGTCTGTGGAAATAAAGAACACAACAAAACAGGCAAAAGAGGGAAAACTGGGAAATCTATAGCTTAGCTCCCTTTGCGTATTCCATTATCTTATTCTCATAGTCCATCAAAAAATCCTTGAACAAAAATGAAGTTTGGAGTTCAGAGATGTAAGGTACCTTGTTGAGGAATTGATGAAAAGATGACCAGCGTTATTTTCGCGTGTCATTGTTGAAGTGCCTTGCCTCATCTTGTGCAGTTCATCACCATATTCAAGTCACGTTTCAAAGACTGGATGAAATTTTGGAAATCTTGAAGTTATGTTAAGTGTTGGAGATACTTGTGTGCAATTTTGGAATGCGGAGTTTTTGTTTTTTTTTTTTTTTTTTTTCCTTTTGCTTAAAGAGGTCTTCCGGTTGGCAAGTGGAACTTTTCACCATTGTTCAATTGTGTGATGTAAAATCAAATCCCGAGCCATATTTTACATTACGTCATCAGTAACACCTCCATAATCCTCAAGAATGCGTGTCAAATATGCAAAGAGAAAGTAAGTGACGCAGTCGGAGCCCACAAAATTTGTTATATCATGATTAGATATTTTAGAGGCCTTACAATGGAATATAACCTTTTATTGTCCTTGGATATCCATATTTTACTAACTTTCTGGGAGAGCCTGGCTCAGGTATACCGGCTGTGATTCCAACCACACTTTTCTTCAAGATAGTCTTCCTCTCCTGAAAATTCCATCACGTTCCCTGCTGCATCATAGAGTTTCTATATAGAGTAAAGCTATATTTCTCACTTGAATCATGTATTTCCTCAACTGCACATATGATTCCGTCAAAAGAAAAGTATTTTTGTGTCTATCACTAATACCCGGCTATGGCCAAGATGAATACCAGCGGGGCGCCGCTTTACACATCGCCGTCTGAGGACAAGAAGTTGCGACACTGAATAATTGTGTAGCGCTGCTTAAAGGTGGCCTTGTGCCAGTTTTCGTATGTTTAAATTTTTATGTGCTTCAAGTTGAAGCTCTGGGCAACCTCAGAAGAAAATGCCCATTTCCTTCGTTTGGAATCGATATGATAAAAACATCAAGGAAAAAAAGCGATTGGTTTTATAGGATCATTTATTTCTCATGTCTGACTGGTGTGTTACGTTGAAGAACGTTGAAATTTTGGGAAGAACAGACTTTTATTTTAGGTACATATTTCCTTGTGATATGATTTTTGTTTTTCATTGTAGTTATTTTTGAGGGAAGATACCTTTTTTTTATCTTCCTTTCACGTTTGACTTGCAGACACCAAGTTAAACTTGAGCACCTACATGCATGTTACACAGATATAGCTCCTAATTCCAATTTCTAAATGTGATAATTCTTATAAAAGCCAATCGCTTTTTTCAGGAGAATGGCTTACAGAGCCAATTTGCAACGCGACCAGCTTCTGATGAATTGACGTAGAAAATGTGATCTACAGTCAGTTATCCAAGACATCAGCCAATTCAATCGAAGCAAAGTGAACTTCATTTTCTTGGTTTAACCATTATATATCCTCCTTTATTCAGCTTATACAAACAAAGACATGCTGTTGTTGTATTTACTTCAGTCATACGTGAACAGTTCATAACTTTAAAAAAAAAGCCCAATATTCTTCTTGAAAACTACCCAATTAACAAAAGACAAGGAATCCTCAGGCGCCAATTTCAAAGATGCTTCAGATCTAAATTAAGCTTAAGGCATGAGAACTACATCAAGAAGGTCCTAATGGAGTGATTGATTTTGCGGCTAAGGGTTAATTTCTTCCGTCATGGTTCAATGGAAAGCTTTTATACTTTACTTTTTCACGACTTGCAGTTAAATTTTGTCCCTCTTTACCGCTAATGGTTAAATTGTTTGACTGTTTTATGGCCAACAGTTAACACTAGTGCGTCCTTCTTCCATCAGCGGCACACCTGACATCCTGCAATAATTCCAAAATCATAGTAGCTTTTGTGATTTTTCTGGGTTCGGCCTTAATAACATTTTTGTTTGTTTCACTCTAAGAGTTGTATTACCTCTCAACCGGTGTCCTGATTAATTTATAATCATAGCTACCGAACTTATGTTTAACTTGCGGAGCCCAAACCCCTGGGAAATGGCTAGATTAGGGATGATATTTTTCGCAAAACTCTTACACAGATTCTACCAGGTCAAAATAAAGCGTGTTCTGGATTTTTTCCAAAATGCTCCGATGCTCCCAAAATGGGCTCGCATAAAAATAAACTAGAAACAGCTGGAGCGCATATCAAGACAGATAAGTTACCACTGGCAAGTGTGCATCTCACGAAGTTTTGAACCATCAGCGCTGATCTGCTGATGAAAAGTCTACTATCAAAAACAAAAATAAATTGAAAAATAAAAAAGCCGGGAAAGCTATTACAATGAATTGTCATGGGCAAAATCCAGTGGAAACAATTTTGTCGTACATTAAAGAAGAAAATGTCAGTACTCATTTGTCTCATTCACTAAGTTTATCAGTGTGACAAGGCCTCCGTACCGACGTTTTATCCATATAAGACGCTTTTGGAAGAGCTCATTCCAGCATCTTGCAGTTTACTTGCCAAATAAGAGCACGAAGCGAGTAAATGGCCTTTTACGGTTAAAAGCTTGCCGAGATCTCTCTGAAGCTCCCGATTTTGTGGTCGGATGCTACCAACCGAGTTAGAGAGGACCTGTTGGCGCGCCAAGCCATCTGCTAAGTCGATATATCACAAGCGTACATGTTCTCTAAATGGATTCGGTGTAGTTTAGTCGAAAGTTTCCTGTGTGAAGATCGATTTAGAAAAACAGAGAAAGTTTTGGTGCGGTCACTGATAAAGAAAACTGTTTAGAATTCAACATGGGCGCGAGGATAGCCACAGCAGGCCCCGCTTGCCTAGCGGGATGTTCTTAGCAACTAACCCACGGAGACCTAGTCCTTGAGCCGGGCCCTAACTATTTTAAGTCCCTACGAAACAAGCGGTCTGCCATATTTACAAGGTTAAGTATTTTAAGAGGATTGGAGACCCACTTATGAGTGAAAGATTCTCGCTGATTGGTAAGCGAAGTGAAAAACAGGAACTGGGAAGCCCTCGTTTCAGTAAATTCTGTCATAAGATGGAAGGTCGAGTTCGTTCTCCAAGTTCGTCAGTGTCTAACATGTTATTCTACATTGTTTGGTCATTAAGAACTAGAAGGTCAAAATGAAACTCTTTATATAGTAGCGCATTAATGGCCGCGAGAAAGCAATGTTTGTACGGCCATGTGCCTGACAAGAAAATCGATCAGCCCAGCCGAGTTTTTTGGAAGAGAACGCCTGACTCGATCTTTGAAAATCTTCCATCAATGGGTTGTTGTTCAAAAGTACAATCACGCTCTTGCGAGAAAAAAAACATTCATGTATTGTAATGAAGTAAAACAGAAAAAGTAATGTTTTGACTGCACTAGCAATTACATAGTGATACGAAAATAGCATACGACGAGAAATTGCCACTAAAGTGACAGATGGATAGATAAAAATGTTAGTGTCTTAATAAAGTAGTTGAAGACAAAGAATAGAGAAGAAGCAATGTTCAAGATTTGAGTCGGTGAATTCATAGTTTCAATCTTTGAATCTATAGATTCATTATAACTCCATAGCCGGTGATCAAGGAAAGAAATCCTTCCTGGGTCGCTGAGACCCATTGTAATCAATGGGGATGTGATCAATATCTAAGATAAACAGCCAAGGGAAGTCAGAAGCAAATGGTAGGAGCCAGGCGTTTTTCGGGACGGCGATGTAAACAAGGAAGAAAAGCAAAGCTTAAGTTAAAACGGATACCGCTGCGTGGTAAAGGCACCCCACATACAAATGTTTTTTTTTTATGATTGCCTGAGCCATTTCATTGCTGTAACATTAACATCGTAATCGGTATGTTCGTGATATAGGAGAGAAGTTAGAAGTGAATGCAAATATTATCTGGTTTCCACACCGCGCCGTTCGGAAAACCCTTAAATCAGTTTAGTTAACCGAGGAACGTCTACGCTCATTTAAGGGGAAATTCGATGTGAGAAGTCTCTTTGCTGAGCTTTCAGCGCTGACCCAAAACCACTTAACCCACGCGACTGTTTTCTACGAAACAAATTTCATTCATCTAGAAGCTTTCATTTTAGTAAGTGGCTGCTTATTTACTAATGTGATATCGCTTTACAATATCTCCTATGTATATACTTAGCGTTAGACCCTCAACATTAATGAAAAGGCAGTGAAACTATTTAACCAGGGAAACTTAAGAGCGGTGAGGGCTTTCAAGATTTGAGAGATGCTGGGCCCTGGCCAACTATCAACCGAATGCGAAAGTTGTTGTCACAGAATTATTATGACCATTATTTTGCAAAGTGGACACTTTACAATTAAGGACAGCGCGAGCGATCACCATGTAATAACACTGGCCCTCTGTATAGAAGGATTTCATAGGTTCACAGAACGAGGTCAACGGTGAACACGAGATTTTCACTCATGGCAATGTTCTTCGATAAGCTTCGTTGTACAGTAATCTTGATGAGTAACATAGCTTCCACGATAAGTGGTATGGGACGGAATTGAGACTTTAGCCATTTGACAAACAAATCTAATACTGGCGTGTTGGTATCTCGTTTTTATTTTTGCGACAAGTCGTCCTTTAACGTTGATGAATCTATTACATCTTCGTTATCAGTCCTCGAGAAAATAACTCTTAACTTTTAATGCAGCTTTTTGCCCTGTTTACTCACTGAAACGATTGCTGAACTGAGGTTTAAATAGACAGCGAGAGTGCATAGTATACTTTTTAGCAGCTGGGCCAACTGAGTCACTCTTGGATCAATCACGACTCACTGAGGCATCAGAAACAAACCTCGGTAATTTTTAATTATCTCTCTAGCGATCTTCTCTTTACGGAAGACACTTTTTTATTTATTTAAGGATAGCTTAATGATGTTATCGTTAAATTGTGGATTAAGAAAAGCACCGAAGTAATCCAGAACAATCTGGATCATGTTAACATTGTCACAAATCAAATTCTTTTTGCCTTAACACGACCCAATGTTTCAGCAAATGATCCGTATCGTTGCGTCAGTTTTTGAAATTCCAGTCGTCAAAACTTGATCTTAAGGAAGCTTACAGATCATGACTGTCTTTACTATTGGTCTTTATGCGTTGAGCAGCTGAAGAAATTTGAGAGAAGAGAAGACTGGTCGGAATTTTGGAAATCTTGAAGTTATGTTAAGTGTTGGAGATACTTGTTCGGAATTTTGGAATGCGGAGTTGTTGATGTTGTTTTTTTTTTCCTTTGAATGCTGAGTATCTGTTTTATGTATATCTTTTCCTTTTGTTTAAAGAGGTCTTCCTGTAGGCAAGTGGGCCTTTTCTAGCATCGTACAATTGTGTGATGTAAAATCAAATCCCGAGCCATATTTTACATTACTTCATCAGTTGCACCTTCATAATCCTCAAGAATAGGTGTCAAATATGCAAAGAGAAAGTAAGTGACGCAGTCGGAGCCCACAAAATTTGTTATATCATGATCATACATTTTAGAGGCCTTACGATGGAACATAACCTTTTATTGTCCTTGGATATCCATATTTTACTAACTCTCTGGGAGAGCCTGGCTAAGATGTTCAAGGAGTGATTCCAACCACACTTTTCTTCAAGATAGTCTTCCTCTCCTGAAAATTCCATCACGTCCCATGCTGCATCACAGAGCTTCTATATAGAGTAAAGCTATATTTCTCACTTGAATCATGTATTTCCTCAACTGCACATATGATTCCGTCAAAGGAAAAGTATTTCTGCGTCTATCACTAATACCCGGCTATGGCCAAGATGAATACCAGCGGGGCGCCGCTTTACACATCGCCGTCTGAGGACAAGAAGTTGTGACACTGAATAATTGTGTAGCGCTGCTTAAAGGTGGCCTTGTGCCATCTTTCGTATGTTTAAATTTTTATGTGCTTCAAGTTGAAGCTCTGGGCAACCTCTGAAGAAAATGCCCATTTCCTTCGTTTGGAATCGATATGATAGAACCATCAAGGAAAAAAGCGATTGGTTTTATTAGATTATTTATTTCTCATGTCTGACTGGTGTGTTACATTGAAGAATCCTGAAATTTCGGAAAGAACAGACTTTTTATTTAAGGTACATAATTCCTCGTAAAACGATTTTTGTTTTACATTCTAGTTGTCAGTTTTGAGGAGTGATACCTTTTTTTTTATCTTCCCTTCGCATTTCACTTGCAGACACGGAGTTATACTTGACCACCCACATGTCACGCAGATATAACTCCTAATTCCAATTTTTAAATGTGATAATTTCTTATAAAAACCAATCACTTTTTTTAGAAGAATGCCTTACAGATTCAATTTGCAACGCGACCAGGTTCTGATGAATCGACGTAAAAAATGTGAAGTACAGTCCGAGTTATCCGAGACATTAGCCACTTCAATACAAGCTAAGTAAACAACTTCATTTTCTTGAATGAACCATTAAATTTGGAAACAGTCCTTATGTCCTCCTTTATTCAGCTCATACAAACAAAGATATGCTGTTGTTACATTTATTTCAGTCATGCGTGAACAGTTCATAACTTAAAAAAAAAACAATATTTTTCTTGAAATTACCCAATTAACTAAAGACAAGGAATCTTCCTTCAGACGCCAATTTCAAAGATGCTTTAGATTTAAATTCAGCTGACGGCATCAAAACTACATCAAGATGGTCTTAGTGAAGTGATTGATCATGATTTTACGGCTAAGCCGGGTTAATTTCTTTTTCACGACTTGCGGTTAATTTTTGTCCCTTTTTACCGCTAATGGTTAAATTCAGTTTGGCTGTTTTAGGACTAACAATTAACTCTAGTGCGACCCTCCTCCATCAACGGCTCACCTGACATTCTGCAATAATTCCAAAATCATAGTAGCTTTTGTGATTTTTCTGGGTCCGGCCTCAATAACATTTTTGTTTGTTTCACTCTAAGAGTTGGATTACCCCTCAACCGGTGTCCTAATTAATGTCTAATCATAGTTACTGAACTTACTTAATGTTTAACTTGCAGAGCCCAAATCCTTGGGAAATGGGATATAGATTAAGGACGATATTTTTGACAAAACTCTTAGACAGATTCTACCAGCGTCTTTTGGATTGTTTCCGATGCTCCCAAAATAGGCACGCATAAAAACAAACTAGAAACAGCTGGAGCCGATATCAAGACAGATAGGTTACCACTGGCAAGTGTGTATCACACGAGGTTTTAAACCATCAGCACATATCTGCTAATGAGAAGTATACTATAGAAAACAAACATAAATTGAAAAATAGGAAAAGAAAGCTCAGTATTGCAATGAATTACCACGGGCAGAATCCAGTGGAGGCAATATTGTCGTACATTAGAGAAGGAAATGTCAACACCCATTTGTCTCATTCACCAGGCCTCTGTACCTACGTTTTATCTATATATGACGCTTTTGGAAGTGCTCATTCCAGTATCTTCCAGTTCAGTTGCCAAATAAGAGCACAGAGCGAGTAAATGGCCTTTTACGGTTAAAAGCTTGCCGAGACCTCTCTGAAATTTCCGATTTTGTGGTCGGAGGCTACCAACCGAGTTAGAGAGGACTTGTTAGCGCGCCAAGCCATCTGCTAATTAAGTTGATATAACACAAGTGCACATGTTCTCCTGTGTGAAGATCGATTTAGAGAGAGAAAAAAGTTTTGGTTCGGTCACTGATGAAGAAAATTGTTTAGAATTAAACATGGGCGCTAGAATAGCCACAGCAGGTTCCGCTAGCCGAGCCAGCGGGATGTTCTTAGCAGCTGACCTACAGAGACCTCGTCTTTGGGCCGGGCTCTAACTATTTTAAGTCCCTTGAAACAAGTGGTCTGCCATATCTACGCGGTTAAGTAAGCGGAGTGAAAAACAGGAACTAGGAAGTCCTCGTTTGAATTCTTTCATAAGATACAAGTTCGAGTTCGTTCTTTAAGTTGGTCAATGTCTAACATGTTATTCTACCTTGCGTTTTGTCATAAAGAACTAGAAGGTCAAAATGACACCATTTAGATAGTAGCGCATTAATGGGCGCGAGATAGCAGTGTTTGTATGGCCATGTGTTTGATACGATAATCTATCAGCCCAACCTCTTGGGTTTCAAGCCGCAAGACTTTTTCGGAAGAGAACGCCTGACTCGATCTTTGAAAATCTTTTATCAATGGGTTGTATTTCAAAGTACAATCACGCTCTTGTGAAAAAAAACATAATTTATTGTAATCAAGTAAATCAGAAAAGGTAATGTTTTGACCGCAATAGCAATTGCATAGTGATACGATCATAGCATACGACGAGAAATTGCCACTGAAGTGATAGATGGATAGATAAAAATAGAGTTTAATTTCTAATCCAATTATTCTGACGTAAAATAACTATAATGACAAACTAGGATTATTCCTTTATATGGTACTTGTTCTGTAGCCGTTGAACAAGGTTCTCACGACAAGTCACTTGCCTGCAGGATCATTGAAATACAATATCATTACTGATTTCTCCTCTTCATGAGATTAGGGTCTCCTCACCTTTCGTTCATTCTCACGGAAACTCATTATGGCTTTTTTTATCTTTCAAAGTCAGAAGAATGACGACTAAATAGACCATAGAATCTCTGGGAAAATCTTAATGAATTTTTTTAAGGAAATTTTCTGAAGTTTTCAGAATCAAGTAACATTTCTTAAGCTCAGACATTCCTCAGACAGATTTCAAGCTTTAAAGATGGTTGCTCTTCATGCAGGTTAAACCAATCATAAAGGATCTACCTTTAATCGATGTAGATACCTGTACGACTGCCAGAGATATTGCATGCTAAATATATCTTGTTAAACGTTTTGTTGTGTGGTATCGCTGAATTTACGAGCTGTCCCGTAATTTGACTCGCCCTATGGGCGAGTCAAAATACAAACAAAGAGTAAAAATACTCAGCGATAGTACACAACAAAACTTCTAATAAGGGATTTATTATCCAACATACGGGCGAATTTCGTGCGGGCGAATTTCGCGGATGTTTCTGAAGTAAAAATATCGCGTGATATTTGTACTCGTCTCGCGCGTTATTTGTACACTACGAATCACAGTTGGATAATAAATATATCGTATTAGACGTTTTATTGTGGAGTACCGTTGAGTATTTTCACTAGTTGTGCCGTATTTCGACGAGCCCATAGGGCGAATGAAAATACTTAGCGATACTACACAACAAAACTTCTAATAAGAGATTTATCATCCAACACGCCAAATTGTTATTTCAGTGCGGGCGAATTTCGCGGATATTTCTGGAATACAAATATCGCGTGATATTTGTACTCGTCTCGCGCGTTATTTGTACTCTACGAAGCACAGTTGAATAATAATACCATTTATCCATTTATTATTACTTATAGCCAGTAACGACCCAGTAAAGTTGCAGCAAATACGAACACGAGAGAAATAATAGAAAACGACACTTAAGGTCAGACCTGCCCTTAGGGCCTTTTGAATTCCCGACGAGTGATATTAGAAAAGCCTGAAACATGGCTCTCATCAGCGAATGCACTGTCGCCGGAAACAGAGACCTTCCATTTCGTTTCCCTTATGGAATTATGCCAGATATCCTCTTCCTCTAGGAAAAACAGGGCAATTGCGTCTGAAACTGAAAGGCACAACCCACACATAAGGGATGGTTCCTCTAAATGAAACGCTTGTTGTCACTGTTGGCCCTCTCTCTTTAAGACTAATAACCCGTAATTAAATTCCACTAAAGGTGAGTAGTCTGGTGGCTTTGGGAGAAACTTCTACTTGTAAGCTGAGACTCGATTCTAACTGTAGAGAATCACCATAGAGCTTTGCTTCATTTGCCAATCTCTGGAAAGAGGGTGGGTGAAGGAGTTACCAGATATTATCAAAGGTAGGAGGGTGATAGAGCACGCAAAGAAAACTTGCACGGAAGAGTTCTTAAGAGTTAAACTTTACGTCAAGTTTTAGCTTGCAACATTGGCCAATGTTACATACTTCAAACAAAAAAAAAACAAAAAAAAAAAAGGTAAAATCGCATTCCAAGCGATACTTATGTAGTTTATCCCCCTCTGCAATGAATCAAACCCTTCAGTTGCAGATAAATAAAATGTTTAATCTCGGATCATCCGGTGCAGCAGTGGCAAAAGTTCCTCTTTGTTTCAAAGGTCACGTCCAGAGCAGTTTCCTACTACCGCTCGTAGGATATAAAAAACAAAAATCAAAAACAAAGTCAGTTGCCCTCAACACACCAAAGCTTTCGCACTGTGGAACGTTGAGCGTAAAAAAATGGACTTAAAACTTGCGGTGGGTATAATGGCCAAATTTTTGGTTGAATTTTTTTAACTTTTCTCAGCTTTGCTTCCTATCTTGATTCACCTTAGTAAAAGAGATTATTTCGAAAAACATTAATTTGTGCCCGGTAAATTCAATGTAAAGTGTTTTGATTGCAGAATTTTGCAGTGTTTTTGATGGTTTTGGCGTGCGTGGAATCAAGATCAGCCGTTCGAAGCCTAAGCTCAGATTATCGTAGAAAGAATTGCAGCGGAGGAGGAAACCTTATTAAGATTCATACTGAAAAGTGTGCAACATTTTCGGGAAAACGGCAATGCGAAGCAAAATGTGATGGCTCACGCACTTCAGACCTTACGACAAGTAAGTTAAGTGTTTGAAATCCTTGTGACATGAAGTACAAACGGAACTTAAGATCACAGTATTTAAGAGGCCATTGACAAAATTCCCTCTGTGACTTGCCCCAGTAAAAACTACTATAATGAAGTAAATCAAGGGCTGAATGAATATTATTTTATCTTTTTCATTAATTAAGAACCGATTTCAACGAAGGTAGAGTTTATTTTGTGGATTTCTAATTTTACAAATCTCTCGAAAGGCAAATTGAATACCTCATTATTATTAATCTTTCTTTTTTTTTTGTTTTGAAAATGTCTTAAAAATATCCTTTTTTGTCTCACTAATAGTTCGAAACGATCAAGAAATTTCCCAAACAGATGTTGCCGTTTAATCAAACGAATATTTAGAATTATATTTTCGCAAATAATCTCTTTTTTCTCCTTTCGCAGAATCAAAGGAATAACAATCGAGACCGTGGGAGGAAGGAAGCGCATTCAATTCACTGCAAACGAAAACGGAACTCAATACCTATATGCCTTAAAGGTCGTCAACGGGACCAATGGTGTTTTTGAGGTTGGTCCGGAATGCTAATACTGCAAGTATCATTTCAGTCTTAAAATTCGTCTCATTCTCAACGAAACGATCGAATTTGCTTTACATTTCTTTAAAGTTATGGACTGAGTTTCCTTTTATAGCAAAGCTGAATTAAGTAGGTGACACTCATATACATGTCTGTTTATATTTAGTGCTGATCGTTTTTACTCATTAAGTCAATAATTATCGACACGTATTGTCGCTTTTGTTTCACAGGAAAGTGGTTGCCAAGGATCAATCGAGGACAGCTTCCTCTTTGAAGAGGCAGTTATAAGGATTGGACAGCGAAAGTTGAAACGATTTGTGTATAAAAAACACAATACAATGTGTCTATCTAGTGATTGTGACGGAAATCTTTCTCTAATAAGTACAACAAACAACACTAGCGAGATGTGTTGGTTTCTTAAGCTTAAATAAGTAACAGAGCAGTTAAAGCTGATAGTAATTACCGCAACCTGTTTTGAATTTTACATCTGTCCAGCCATTATATCGCGACGATAACAAAATAAATTAGAGTACATGTAATGTGTAGAGGATTTTAAACGAAGCCAGTAAATTTTATCAGTTCTTCTTATTACTCAAGTGTGTGTCTTTAACTGCACTTGCAAATATGGTAAACTTTCCCCAAGAATCCGTGTGAGAGATCAGACTCGGTGGCCCTAAAGATGGCGCTACGAACTCTGGATCAATAAGTCTAATTTCGAGCGCCGTTCGGATTCAACGAACCGATTTTTCATAGGCTTGTAAAGTTCATAACTCTTACTTCCCTTTCATTATCCGAGGGTAAACATGGAAAGCCTTGCACAAATGGCCTGGATTAGTAGGAGTTGCAATTATTATTTTCTTTAATTTCGTAGGCAGGTTTGGTCACCGGCCATAATCAACCTAATGTTGATTTCACGTTGCTTCAACTTTCTGGGTTTTGATCATTGCAATAATGAATTTACAGGGTGATTATATGGAGAACGCAACAGTTGATCTTTACTCGCTTTTTTCTCTGTGTCCTCGGTTACAGTACCTTTCTATGAATGACAGCTTTCCCGTCTAGTGCAAACTTCTATTAGTAAAACAAAAACACTAATGCAACATTATTTTCCTCTGGAAGCATGTGGAAGCAGGTGCCGGACCCAATTATTATCTTTTCATTTTTGAGATTTGAGGGCAAAAACATTTTCATCTAACACCCACTTCCCATCCCAAAAGGAAGTGCTCTGGTGTTTCCTTTAACTCTGGCTTGACCTGAAAACGTATGCTACCGATCAAGCCGAGATTTGCGTGCTTCTTCCTCGTTTATTAACTTTTGTTTCGTCACTGAAATATGATAATAATTGAAATAAACAAGGAAACGACACATCCTTAAAGGAAACTTCGTAAGATTGGATGCACTTCTTTTCTTTTTCTTTTGATTCCTTCCTCTACATCACCGCACTGATACTTCAACTGATTGCTCCTTTTCATGGAGAATTTCAGTTTCTCCTGTCACGATTGCATTCTAAAACTCCAAACTTCTCTTGAAGAGATATACAATGTTTAGACAGGGAAAAACTAATACGCTTAACTAGTGGAATTAATAACAGCCTGAAATAACCAATACAAGACATGAAACTTGACGGGCGGCACGAACGTAATTCCAAAACTATTAACATCTTCCCTGGAAAGCAATCAATAATTTATTGGCAAGATCACATAAACGGGAGGAACCTTAATCAAATAGGACATTTCACAGGTCTAAAAGGCCATAAAAAGGTAAGCAATCTGCATTCTACAAAGTTCATGTTTTGTCACTGCGATTAATTTATATTTCTTCCCAAAACTGATTTTGTTTTCGTCGGTCAGAAAAGCCCATTGGCACCGTACCATTGGCATGATAAGCCGTTTTGACCATCTTAACATTTGGTGATGTTTGCTAAAAACCTAAACGATATTTTTCTTCCAATCTGCAGGAAAATGAAGATCCATTTAATTTTGTGCTTTGCCGTTGTCTTGGTCGCCTCCGCAGCTGCGAGATCTCTCGAGGGTAAGCAGAAGGAAAAAAAAACTGTGCGCTATTTACTTCATTTGACCTAAATATGACAACTTTACAAATATAAAACAATGATCCATGGAAAGGGTATAGAGATAAGATAGTCAGGGCGCAAAGGCTCTAAGGAGAAAGAGTTGTGGTATACAAATCGTCCTGACTGAAGGTAAATTGGTTGAAAGCTATCTGTACCAAATCCTTCCCGTGGAAGGTGAAGTCAAATTTATTTGGAAGCTCTTTGGCCTTGCGTACGACAAATAAATAGGTCTTTCCTGGATGTATTCTCTTTTCAATTTGCTGAGGTACGATACTATAATTTCTCTCTGATAGAAATGGATCGTGAATTGTTTCAGAAGCTAGAATAAAATTAAAGTGATGAGGCAATACCTCAAATAATTTGAACTAAAGCAGCTAGCCAATGTTTTCCCGTGGAGTTTTTTCGAAAGGAATATTTGGAGTAAAGTCCTTTCTTATATCAGACAGAAGTCGTGTTATATTCCTTTTGAGAACTTCTATCGTTATGTTTGTATTTGATTCCCACTAGGATTTTAATTGCACTGGCTGTAAAATATAACAACAGCTAAACGAAAAAAAAAAGATAAAAAATTCAAATCGGTTAAGAAGTGCAGTATTTGTCCCATGGAAATGATCGCATCCTTTCGAAAAACAATGAAAGTTACGGTGAGATAGTCAGGCCAATCAAGACATAATTGGTCTATTATGTCCGATTACTTCACAACGCTATGGGGAATTCCAGCTGAGAAAGGAAAAATAAAACGAACGATGACATCAGAATTTAACTACCATCTTTAAATGAGCCCACTTTCTGGATCAACTCTCTCTAAAATCTCGACAAAGAACTTGTTACTCGGGATTCTATCTCAGGTGATATTCATTAACTCAAGTGCTGATTGAAATATATGGTGTAGAATTATCTTCCACTAGCACCTCGGCCATGATGATGGTCCATTCTGCTCTTTCAAGTAGAAATAAACCAGATCGAGAAAAGAAAATCATTTGGATCCACTTCTGTTCAGATTCTTTGGTAATGTTTATTTGGTAGTGTCTTAGAGTAAAATAATATTGCAGACAGAAATCACCGGCCAAGTTTCCGTGGAGTACTAAGAATACGATAGCGGGTACCTGATTTTAAGAGAGTAAATAAGCAAAATGTGTTTTAATAATAGCATGAAAGTTTTCGTCCAAGTTGAAAATTTAAATTTTGAAGTAAATAGTCCATTCCTACTTCTTGGCCAGTCTAGAATTTTATGACCAAGATTCCTGGCGACTGAATTAAATCGAGAGTCCTGAATACTTAAATAGAAATTATTTACCCCTATGATATTTCTCTTTGCTCATCATATTAGGGAAATACCATAATATAAATATTGGTATATGATTAAAGAACTATGTCTCGCTATGTGCTTACTTTAAATAGGTATTTTCCACCCGTTAGGCTCAAAGTAGCAAGTTTATAATATTCTAAAGATTGATACATGAGACGTTTTCTCTACCATTTTCAGCCTCAAAGAGATGTTGTCCACCCCCTCCACCTCCCCCACCAGCTCCACCTGTTGCGGGACCTCCCGGACCTCCTGGCCCTCCTGGAGCACTCGGCTGCGCGGGCCCCCCAGGGTCCACCGGATGTCCCGGATGGAAAGGCGCTCCGGGAGTAGCAGGACCAGCTGGACCAATTGGCCTTCCTGGAAAACCTGGTCTAAATGGTGCAGTCGGAGCACCTGGACCAATGGGCCCTGTTGGACCAGCTGGATGCCAAGGTCTTAAAGGCTGCCCTGGACTCAACGGTGCCCCTGGCCTAATAGGACCTCCAGGACCGCCAGGACCACCAGGACCCCCAGCTCAACCTTGCTGCGGTTAGGGCACCATCTAGAAACAGACCAATTACGAACAACTGCTGCAACAGTAGACAACATTGAAGATTAGCGAGAACCTGTTTTCTGTAATACCCCTTCTCCTTCTTTCAAGGGGAAACTATTTTCAACAGAAATCAATTAAAGTTCTTTTTGAATTATAATAAAAGCGAATCGCCCTCTCTCTCACTTTAACTTCTAAACTTGGGTTCCATTCAAGTGTTACATACGCACGGGGACTCAGCTCACCCAGCCATACTATCTGGCATGGTTTCCAAGAAAAAGCTACGAACATTGTAATACTCTCACTTAGACAACACAGGAAAGCTTCTTACACTTGTTGCTCATTTGTAATGCAATTTCCTTAGAGTTCATGTAGCGGAGTGACAATGGTTTGTTTAAGAGAACTGTCCAATAGTCAAGAATTGAATAAAAATCCATCATAGGGACAAAAAGAGAATAATCTACTACTCCTTAGAATCCAGCCGATCAGACCTGCCTTAAATATTTAAGCAGACTGAAGTCCTATGATCAAGTGAAACCCTTAGCATGCAAACTATAGGCAAAATCCATAGCAGTAACACTCGTTAAGCTTCTCTAGTTATCGTGTCTTGCAAATGGTTTTCAGGAGAATAGAGCACTGAACCTTTCAGAGCTTTAACACATGCTAAAGAAGGGGTGGCCACCCGTGTGAAACCAACTTATGCGCTAAAAAATAACTGCTCAACAATTGTTAATTTTTTCTTAGAAAAAGCCGCATCCAAACATACATCGTCCAAAGCTGATGGTGATGCCTATAGTACCGAACACACAAAATTTTATGAGTCGAAACCTATGCACCCTTAGCTCTTCTAGACTTTTTAGGCCATTAGACGTCACCTGCTCGAAAACTCTTGTGGTTTAAATTTTCCTTTTCGCACCCAAACGATCACCAAACAATCAACTGTTCCTATAGAGGAGTATGAATAACAAGAAAAGACGCTCTATTTTAATATTAGAGGATCTGAACAGACTGCACAAGTTTGTACCATGTTTACTGCGTGTTACTATATATTTCAGAATACTGGATGAAAACGTAGTCAAGAAATTAAATAACTCACAGCAAGAGTCAGACTTAATAATGAACCAGATTTAATACATGTGTCTTTAAGATATAAGGAGAAGGCATGAACGATAACACTACTATTGCTACAAATAAGGCAAATATCAAAGAAATCGAGAGTCAGATGAAACTAACTGAAAACACTTGTTTAGTCTTCGCAAATTAAAACTGAAATGCAAAATTATATCTACATCACAAAGTGTTGAACAGGAATTTCTCACCTGCAACTGCTTGTCCTATCACCCCAAAGAAAAATAGTTTGGAAAGACAAGACATCTTTCCGTTAAAAAGAATGATGAACAGTAGCATATTTTACTTAATTATTTTTTTTCAAATCATTTTTTAAAGCAAATCACTCAATTCGTGAGAAAATTAATTCGCGGAAATGTTTCGTCTAATTAAGAGGCAAAGATTGTAGCGTATTATATGATCTCAACAGTTTTAATTATTTAACAGTACAGGTGTCTTCATATAAATGATAGTCATCTCAGTTGCTCAGAGGGTTGTTTGGTCTTTACTCACCGTCTAGGTAAGTGCTCACTTGTTCACTAAATTTCTTTGTAAGATATATCTTTGAGCCATGT